TCGATGCAACGGGTCTTTGCAGAATGTCGTCTCACCGAAGTTGGTTGAAACGATTCTCTTTCTGTTGCTAGTGCCTGACCTTTGTGTGTTGTGATGTCTCTTTAATGGCTTGTTCCGCTTTTGTGCTGCTCAACGCTTGCCTCTTTTTGTTTCTTTATCATCATCATCTTGGTTGTCGACAACATAATAGTCGTCGTCGTTACCATATAAACATCATTCTCTTCTTCTTCTTCTTCTTCTTCTTCTTCTTCTTCTTCTTCTTCTTCTTCTTCTTCTTCTTCTTCTTCTTCTTCTTCTTCTTCTTCTTCTTCTTCTTCTTCTTCTTCTTCTTCTTTATTCTATCTATCTATCTATCTATCTATCTATCTATCTATCTATCTATCTATCTATCTATCTATCTATCTATCTATCTATCTATCTATCTATCTATCTATCTATATCTATCTATCTATCTATCTATCTATCTATCTATCTATCTATCTATCTATCTATCTATCTATCTATCTATCTATCTATCTATCTATCTATCTATCTATCTATCTATCTATCTATCTATCTATCTATCTATCTATCTATCTATCTATCTATCTATCTATCTATCTATCTATCTATCTATCTATCTATCTATCTATCTATCTATCTATCTATCTATCTATCTATCTATCTATCTATCTATCTATCTATCTATCTATCTATCTATCTATCTATCTATCTATCTATCTATCTATCTATCTATCTATCTATCTATCTATCTATCTATCTATCTATCTATCTATCTATCTATCTATCTATCTATCTATCTATCTTTCTATCTATCTATCTATCTATCTATCTATCTATCTATCTATCTATCTATCTATCTATCTATCTATCTATCTATATATCCGTCCGTCTGTCCGTCCGTCCGTCCGTCCGTCCGCCCTCCCGCTCGCCCGGCCATCCATCCATCCATCCATCCATCCATCCATCCATCCATCCATCCATCCATCCGTCTGTCTGTCTGTCTGTCTGTCTGTCTGTCTGTCTGTCTGTCTGTCTGTCTGTCTGTCTGTCTGTCTGTCTGTCTGTCTGTCTGTCTGTCTGTCTGTCTGTCTGTCTGTCTGTCTGTCTGTCTGTCTGTCTGTCTGCCTGCTTGCCTGTCTGTCTGTCTTTCCGTCCGTCCGTCTGTCCGTTCGTCTGTCTGACCTAGTTACATATACGTTACCCTGGTGGTTCGCTGGCATCATTATACCACTACATAAATGAGCTGGGCAAATATTCCCAGTATGGAACGTAAGCTTGGAGAAATCTGCCCCTTTTTCTGTCCAATTTTGTGGCCACAATATATGCGGTCTATTTATTTCTGTGTTCACGTTGTCAGGTAATAGAGTGGGTGGACGAGCTGAGAACAATCAGTCGGTCACCTCCCAGTGAAAAGGTTTGATAATTTGTAGAGCAGGCGTGGAAAGCTTTTTATTTTGATGAAATATTCAGTAGTAGAAATGGTTGTTGATTCACGTAAACTGTCGACACTTTAGCACCATAGATGCAACCTTTTTTACCATTTAGTAAAGGGATGATACATTTTGATGTTAATGGAATTCTCCTTCTTCTCCTCATATTTCCCCTCCTTTTCTTCCCCATACATCTATCTATCCATCTATCATCCATCCAGGAATAATCCACCTATCTATATATGCATCATAATAATCCACTCAGTCAATCAATCAATCCATACATCCATCATCCACCCATTCATCAATTAATTCACAGATCTTTCATCATCCATACATCTATCCCCTCTCCAACCACTCATCTAACATCAGCTCATCATCCAACCATTTATCGGTACATCCATCCATCTCCATCAGTATCTCCTTCCTCCATACATACAAAAACACATACATTACCCACCATCCACCTATATAACCGTTCATCTATCCGTCCGTCTGTCTCTTCATTAGTCTTCGTCTATCTCGCTGTCTGCCTGTCTGTATGTCTGTTACTCTCTCCGTTATCAAAGCCAGCCCATCTGCGTGTAAAGAAAATCAAATCAGGACAGAAACTGTATCTTACATCCACACATTCCCGAGACCCCCAGCTCGCCATTCAGCTGTTGCCTATTGCCATTAAGGCTCTCCATTACCGACGAAAAGCGAAATGTATCAGGTTCACTGGTAGGGGGCAGACGCTCACATGCACGTCTGCAGAAACGAACACAGGGCTGCCGTTATTTTAGTGGGTTCCCTCCATTTTGCATCACTTCTGCTGCCATTTTTGTTGCCGTGTATGTATCGAGTTACTTGCTAACCGGCAAGTGTGCTGACAGGGAAGCATACGTTCTTCGTGCACACATAGTAGGCTGGCTGCAATTTTTATGTTAACCACATAATAATAATAATAATAATAATAATAATAATAATAATAATAATAATAATAATAATAATAATAATAATAATAATAATAATCTTGTCCGTGATTCTTGCGCCCTTCAGTAAAAAACAATGTTTATGTGAAAGGCAGTTGTTTTAGGAAGTAACCATTCTACCCGTAAAATCTAGTTTCGGGAAATAACAAGTTGAATCAGACATCACATATCTCGGCATATGTTCCCAATCTTCAGCAGCGAAGAGTTCCATTTCTTATATTACCAGTATCAGTCTGATTCTATGTACGTCTTGCCATTTCTATGAGTGCTGGTCAGATCGCATTGTCACTCCCATGGTCACTCCATATTGTTGACTGGCTCCCAAAGAGCTTTAACTATTTTTAGGGGGATATCAGGACCTGATTTAGACTTGTTCTGGCCTTAAGCCATTGCCATGCTATGATAAAGAAATTCCGCCGCATCAGGCGGCACTGTAAGGGGAGCGGCAGCATAAGCAGCGAAATCAGAATACTGTTTAAACTTTTGATCTAACAAACCGAAGCTTTAAGGAACGGCGCTCCGAAGACCTGCATCATACTGAGAACATCTACCTTACTAGAGGCCCCAAGCTACATAAACCCTGAGGCCCCTACAGTTTTAAACAACATCAGCTAACCTCAGAAATCTTTACAATATACACGCCTTTCAAACGTATGCATGAAAGAACTATACTGCCGCTTTATTTTTAACGAAAGAAAAAATAAATAATATTTCTCTCAGACAGTCATATTAAAATCTCTATTAAAAGAAAATTGCATTTGCAAGATCAACAACACAATATAAATGTTGTCAGGCTCCTGTTAAACTGTCAGACAGCAGTTATTTAGTTAGCTTATGCCTCCAGCCAACACTGCAGACATCACACCAGAAATAAACAACAATTGTAGACATAAAAACTCCCAAGTAAGTATATACGCTTTGTGATAGAATATACTCAGTTGTCCACAACGGTGTCTAAGAGTTAGGTTTACTATCCCCTCCCCCGAGAAGCCTGGTGTTTCTTCTTCCTGTAAACATGGTATGTTTATGCATGGCTACATTTTCTTCTTCTTCTTCTTCTCCTTCTTCTTCTTCTTCTTCTTCTTCTTCTTCTTCTTCTTCTTCTTCTTCTTCTTCTTCTTCTTCTTCTTCTTCTTCTTCTTCTTCTGCCTCTCTATCCCCCAATGGAGCATAGGCCCTAAACCGACTCACGCCAAGTCGTTCTATCCTTCGCCATTACATGGAGCTCTCACCATCTTTCTAACTTCATTCTCCAGCTCTCCTCCCCATGTATTTTTTTGGCCTTCCTTCATTCCTATGCCCCTGTGGGTTTCCAATGCAAAGACATTCTAGTTATGCTGCTTTCCTGTTTTCCTCAGTGTGTGTCCTATTCAACGCCAGCGTCTTTTCCTCACCTCTTGGGCCACTGAAGCCTTAGTTCTCTCCCAAAGCTCTACACTAGTTATTCTATCATACCATTTAATTCCCTCTGTTCTGCGCAGTCACCAGTTAATGAATGTGTAATTTATTAGTAATTGCCTTAGTTGTTCTATATGTTTCCATCCCATACAAAAGTACTGATTTGACATTAGAATTAAAAATGTTTAGTTTAATATTTCTTTTAATTTCTTTTGACCTCCACAAATTCCCTAGTGCCATGAAAACCCCTCTTGTCTTTGGTATTCTTATTTTAACATCTCTGTCAGTCCCTCCATCTTTATCTACATTACTGCCCAAATAGGTGCACCACTCCACGTCTTTGAGTGGGGTGCCATTAAGAGAAACTACATCTAAGAGTTAAGTATCTTCTCAACAGTTTCCTTCGTCGCCTGCTGGGACAGTTTTTGGGTCTGTCTCATTTGATGGCATCAACATCGAAGGAGTCCCTTTCATGGCTTCTGGTGGCGTGCAATACAAATCAATTTTTATCTGGCGCACATAACATAGTCACAATTATAACCTAAAGCTCCTCCTTCAGGAAGGACGGTTGAACGTGACGATTGTTAACTGTTTTGTCAAAGCACCCGCTTACCTCGAGTCTGATTAAGCGGGCAATGAGCTAAGAGCCTGGACCAGTGTTAACACGGAGAAGAAACAGCCAGACAGCTTCTAATCCAGTTACAACTGGCACCATTAGTATCGGACTCTTAGTTGGTTGCTGAGAAAGCGAACAGAGGGAGGACGTGCGGTGGAATGTCCAAGGTACTGTACTGATATCTATTAATTCATTCGAAAATCCACTAGATTCTTCTATGGTGTCAGTAAACCCGACGTATTTCAGCACATCGATGTGTAAGAGTTAAATATTGCCATTAACCCCTTCAACCCTAGGTCAGGAAAACCTGATTATTTTCCCACAGCGTCTCCGAGCAATGTCTAAGAGTTAACAATCCCTTCATCCTACAACTCCTTCTACCCGACGTGTACCCGTGTTGGAAGGTAATCACTTTTCCTTGTGCACTCAGGCACGTCGACGCATGCGCAGCGACTCTACGTCTGCCTGGGAATCAGTGTTTGATGTGGGCAGGAAGGGTAGTCGTGTGGGCCGCAGACCTGGCGAAAACTTCACTCATCCAGACTTTCCTTCGCTGTGGATATCTCCCAACCTTTTGATATGGGTACTGAAACTCACAAAGACGATCGAAACACCCCGGAGTATTTGGCGCAGTTACTTAAAGACAAAAAACAGATTCAAGCGCTACCAAATGTGTTTATTCACGCGGAGAAAATACTTGATGAAGGTAAGTTAAAGTTGATGAAATGGATCATATTCATATTTTAATGAATAAGTTCGTTAACTTCACTCATTGTCTGTTCGTGTCGACACTGTAGCTCGGAGAAGTGATGGATGATTCATATCTAAGATTAAGGTGAAGTGCACAAACGACTCTCCGAATAAGACAGAAAGGATAGTGTGAAGATTCTTCTTATCATCAGTTGTTAACTTGTTGACAGCTCTCAGCTCGGGTTGATTTACCGAGCCCAGAGTAGATATTATAAATGAAGATAAAAGTTATTCATTTAGTGTTTCAAGCCCGCAAACTTTATTTTTGTAACCAATACTACTTTATTCTGTCGAAAAAGTGATGTTACTTTGATTAGAAATATATCTCTTTTCTGAAAAAGACGAAATACCTGTGCATGAAATGTTGAAAAGTTTCGTCAGCCATCTTGGAACACCCAAAGAGCTGGGATCAGGAGGGACGGGGGGAACATGTTGCAGGTTTGTGTAGGGCCTGTTGCTGATGGCTTCCTTATACACTTGCGGTCCAACAGTCCCCCAGTTACCCATCTTTACACACGTGCACTTCTCGAGTTATACTCATGCAGTCTTTTATCAATAACTGTCCGTTAATGATAATCATAATAAACTTTTATTGATTTATTTCATTTCTCTAATGATGTTTTGTTTTTGTTTTCACCCCCCACACCCCATCTTTCAGTCAGTAACTTTCACGTTCACAACAAAAACTAAAAAAAAAAAAAAAAAAGTAATTTAAACACCCCCCCCCCCCCCCCCCCAAAAAAAAAAAATCATCACAAATATTATTCAATAGCATTTGACACAAGTAAACATTACTAAATGCAACATCACTTTTACTTTTATGTTATGTTGCTTCACAGGGGGATATTAAATATATATATATATATAAGCTAACAATGAATATCACAGTGAACGGGGTGAAATTGGAACAAGTTAAACATTTCTTATATCTTGGACAAGTAATAACATGTGACAGCAGAAGTGAAACAGAAGTCAAGAATAGGGATGGGCAAAAACATTTTCAACAACATGCAAAAGTTACTGACATCAAGAGAAATAAACAATACATAAAAAAATGAGAATTGTCAAATGTTACGTATTCTCAACCTTACTGTATGGCACAGAGACATGGGCAATGAACAAACAACTGGAAAATCATATCAATTCTTTGGAGATGTGGATATACAGAAGATTAGGTCATATTTCATGGAAACAAAAGCTATCAAGTACAGAGGTACTGAGGAAATTGGGAATGAAAAGAGAGTTGCTAGGTGAAATAAAAAAGAGACAAGTGAAATATTTTGGCCACATTAAAAGACATAACAGTATTGTAAAGATCATCCTAGAGGGAAAGGTTCAAGGTAGGCGAGCAAAAGGCAGACAGCGTTACAAGTGGGAGAATAACATCAAGAGATGGACGGACAGCAGTATGAGTGAGTGTACATCAAGGGCAAGAGACAGGGCTTGTTGAAGATCCATTGCAGCCAACCTTCATTGTGGAGATGGCACCTGATTGATATATAAATACAACTATATATAAAGCAGATTAAAGATGATGACAAATGTTTGTCAGAAACTTTGTGCTACAAGAGCCAGTATTAGTAAAAACAGTTTAGAACTACTCATTATACTTGTTTTCATATCAGCTGCTGAGCTATCATTCTGTTAACTTGTGTGGGAGCAGGCTTCACCTTTCATATCAGCTGCTGAGCTATCATTCTGTTAACTAGTGTGGGAGCAGGCTTCACCTTTCATATCAGCTGCTGAGCTATCATTCTGTTAACTTGTGTGGGAGCAGGCTTCACCTTTCATATCAGCTGCTGAGCTATCATTCTGTTAACTTGTGTGGGAGCAGGCTTCACCACATATGTTGTTTCCAGCCTCTTCCTTCAGCATCAGTAGTGCCAGCATAATGCTATTGGGGAGGGGGGGGTGGGGGGGTGCTCAAGGTGCAGAACTTCCAAGTTTCAGTACCTATGCTGCTATATTGTTTCTTTATTAACCATAATGTGACATATTCATGACATATCTACTAGTAACTGTTCCATGATACTAAAGTATTTGTGGGTGTGCAGATGATTCATGCAAATCTTGGTTCTAGGCTAGTGAAAACAACAGATAGTAGACACGCTAGAGGAAGAGTTTGTCTTAATGAGCTTTCTTCTCTTACTTCTTCTTAATGTTCACCATCTGTAAATTGTGATAAAAAGTTATGGTTGTTCACCCACTTCTGAACTTTGTTCTCGTTCCATTACTTGAGTTTTATATTGCCCACCTGTTTTATAAATGTGGTCTAATGGTAATATTACAGAGAAAACTAAAACTTTAAAATGCAACATCAACATATTATCAGCATATTACTGGTTCCTTGCACTCTGACTTTGAAGAAAACACCCTTAATTTGTTGCCTTATATGACATGCTTGTTAGGGCCACTGGGTCTGTTCTCCGCCTCCCCAGTACTGGATCACGGGAAACCTGCCATTTGACTTTCGTAAATTTTTGGAGCTACATTTGTGTTATGTGGCATTTATTTACCATCTAAGTACGGCGCCAATACACTAAGTTTTGCATGCATAGATCAGCAGTGCATTTGTGGCATAAGCTTATTTTTGTTGTTTCACCATGTGATTCCACCATAGCTGTTTGTTTTTTGCATGGCTGTAATTACAATTATATGTTGGTTAGTTACCCTAGGTTTCTTTAGTTACTTGTAACAGTCAAGTGTCATCTTCACATAGAAAGTTGGTAGTCAGGAATCCTCACAATGTTGTGCATCTTCTTGTTACTTACATTTAAGCTTTCCTGCAGTCTATCACTTGTCATTGTCTGTCCCCCTGTAGCCTTGTCTGTCCCCCTGTAGCCTTGTCTGTCCCCCGGTAGCCTTGTCTGTCCCCCTGTAGCCTTGTCTGTCCCCCCTGTAGCCTTGTCTGTCCCCCCTGTAGCCTTGTCTGTCCCCCTGTAGCCTTGTCTGTCCCCCTGTAGCCTTGTCTTTCTTATGAAGATTCCCTTTAGACATGCTCTAACAGTGAAATGCATCACTCGGTCTGGCAAGATTAGCCTAATTGTTTGATCATCTTTTTCTGTATCAGTAAAATTTTCTCTTTCTCTTTCCCTAGGTGTTAGGGACAAAATAAAAGCATCTGCTATGTAACCTGTCTTATATTACATTATTTAAAAAAAATGTATTTAAGGCTATTCTTGGCACTGGCATTCAGTAATATGTCTGGTCTTCCTCTTGTTCTGTGTCCAGTATATTTCTTCAGTGTGGCTCTTTGTGCGATTGGTATCAGGACATTCTCATCGGATTGATAAACCACCACACTTGTTGGTCTTTAATGAACTTATAACTGCTGATATTTTCTTCAGCCTGTTTTTGTAATACTTCTATCTCTTGCTTTCTTATCACATTATCATCTGTATTTGTTTGTGTCTTATGTGGTTACAAAGTACAGAATGGTTGGTACATTGTGGTTTACTGCTAGACTGATATCGGCACCTTTCAACACCAAACATCAAATTTCAGCACATTTCTAATTAGTCACTTTTTGTTAGGAGGGTAATCCTATTCCTGTCCTAAAAATGGCCCTGGAACCCAAATTAGGATGGTAGTTTTTCTCATGCCTGACCCTACTTAGTTACCTCGCTAGAGTGTATATGCCTGAAAGGCAGTGAACCAATAATTTGCATCAAGTTCTGTAAAATGGATGTGTACACAAAAGTCAAGTTCTGGAACAGGACTGAAGTCTAGAACTGGACCAACAAGCAGAACTTTCTGCAAGATGTTTCAGCTGGTGAACATAAAGAGGAGGTGAAGGAGTGAACACACGAAAGTTGAGCATCAACTGGACCAGATCACATCATGAAATGGAGTGAATGGAAGTTCAAGGCAGCTCTTACATCGCACTTGAACTCAGCATGAGAGTATAGCCTGAGCTGAACCTTTAAAATGATCCTACATCTCATTCTTTCCTGTGTAATCCCATCAGTATCATGTATGCAATCCAGCCCAGCAGCTTTGGCTCCTTCCAGCAATCTTTATCATAAGGTTCCTCTTTGGCATCTCCATCTCCTCCAGTCCTTAGGTTTCTCATCTCAGTACCTGTTTGGGGATTCTCTGTCCTCTTCTTCCCAGGGTGTTCCCAGAATATGGACATCTTCTGTTTCTTGTTACTGTTGATATGAGCAGTTGTTCACACATTTGATTTCTTTTCCTTTTTATGTTACTTTTGATATGAGCAGTTGTTCACACATTTGATTTTATCCCTTTTCTTGTTACTGCAGATATGAGCGGTGGTCCACACATTTGACATCTGCACCTTTTGTGAATTTACTCTATTCATTGAAACCTTAATAAGAATCCAACAAGCCACGATATCACGTTTCAACTGACCCTAATTTTTGAACACTCAGCTATCCCAGTAGATATATAAAGAAGTAATTAATTATAAATGCAGTGCTCATAACGGTGACATGAACATGATGTTCCTTGAGTCCAGAGAAATCCCATATAGGTTCTGGCCTGTCATTTTGTAGAGACAAAATGGATTCACTGTCCCTTAAATTAATGTAATAAGAGGCAATTAACTAGAGATATGCTGAAATTAAATGTGTTGAAAAGTTGCTGATAGCACCGACTAACTGTAAACTGCAACATAAAACTGGCCAACCAACGAGTATGTGCAAAAACAGAAGAAGAGTCAAGAGAATCCATCGTCAGGGCTCGGGAAGACCAGGAGAGAATGGATGTTGGGCAGTTTGGCAACCTAGCCATAAGAATGTCTGCACCAGAGACAGTTAACATTGCCAAGGGCTGTGCTGACCCGATCCCATGGTGACTTCCTGCAACGTCATTCTCCTTAGACCGTAATGATCTGTTTGTGCCTCCGCACTGTTCACTTGCTCCTAAAGGGCCCTTACAACATCTGGCTTGTCATACATCAATTCACCATCAAGTGGTGCAGTACCAGCAGAGATG